TCTCATATAAATATATATTCATATTTATGAACTGCGCAGGGGTATTCAAGATTTTAAGTGAAGAATGATGTGTGTATTATTCGTTTATTTCTTCGTGTTTCCTTCAATTCTCTTGGTATGTTATATCCAAACTCTGGAAGCTGCAAGAAAAATAAATATATTTATTCTATAAAAAGATCAGATTAAATATTAAATGATTATTGTTTTAACTAAATTATGAAATAGATTTCAGATGGTAACAATATTCAATTCAATTAAAAACAAAGATACATTTTATTGACCATAATTATTAAAGTATAGTATATGAAAACGCAACAAAAAGAATAGCATGAAGCACATACTAAATTCCATTGTTTCAATTACAAGATCATGTTGCAATCATGAATATATCACCGTAAATAGAAGAAAGAGAATATAGTAGAAAGATATTTTGTTAGTGGAAAGATAGCAAAACAATAATAATTAGGCCTATGATAAACCGATTCACAAACTAAAATATATAGGGCATAGGCATATTAAATGTTTTTGTTTTCGCAACTCCTTCGGCGATCCATATATTTGTTCGAAATAAACCGCGACCGAAACAAAGCGCGACCGAAACGAAGCGCGACCGAAATGATCGGCTAGCGATGGCCGCCAGGTCGAAATCCAGTTTGCCGAATGCCAGATTGCCGCTGCCGAGACCACTTCGTTCGCCGAATCTCAGTTTGACTGGTTCATTTCGTTGAGTACGAATTTTCGTTGAGTATTTTATACGCCCACCATGACCCTGATTATATTACAAGAAAACTGAGCAAGGTCCTTGACCAATGCCAACAATGGCTAATCAACAACAAATTATCAATAAATACTAAAAAAACTGAATTTATTATTTTTGCCTCTAAAACGAAACTTAAAAAAGTTAATTCATTCCAAATATCGATAAATGGCTTCACTGTTAAAGGAAGTAATTATGTTAAATATCTAGGGGTTAATATTGATAATGCAGTTAGCTGTAACTTAATTGCAAATGATTAAAAAAGTCAACTCGCGACTTTCTTTTCTTTACAGACAGAAAGCCTGTCTCAATTTCAAATGTCGTAAACTTTTAACTTCTGCCCTAATTTCTTGCCTTTTTGACTATTCTGCCTGTGCTTGGTACAGTAGTATAAGTAACTCTCTTAAACTGAGACTCCAGACTACGCAAAATAAAGTTTGCCAGATTTGTTTTAAATTTTGGCCCAAGGTCCCATATTGGTCATCAAGAGCTTGCCAGTCTGGGATACCTGAATATTACATCCCGTGTTAAATATCTTAAACTCAGTCATATTCATAACATCTACCACAACAAATGTCCAGATTATATGTACCTAAATTTTACCCCAATCTCAAGTCAACACCGATACAACACCAGAAACAGGATATATAACTAATATAAAACAAAGGTGCTAATCACACTTCATTTTTTGCAACTGGTATCCGAGACTGGAATGCTCTACCCAATTATCTTAAAGAAATTACTGACCACAGGATGTTTAAGAGAAAGCTTAAATAATTTTTACTTACTGATTTTTAATGTTTCATGTTTTTATCCTTTACTACATGCAGTTTTTATTTTTACTCAATTAGTAATTTTAATATTCAATTTTAACTTTTACAATTTTTTAATTTTAAATTGGCCTATGTTTACCTATTTTATATATTTTACTATATATTCTAAACCTTGCCAGATCACTATCTGTAAATATTCGCTCTTGTGCAATAATTACCCTGGCTTCTGGACCCCATTGGAAATAAGTCTGGTGTACAATCACTAGACTTAATGGGTCATCCAGGCATTCAATTAATTTTTCATCTCCTTTTTTTATGTTCGTTCTCAAAATGTTATTGTTATGTGTGTGATATTGAATGCAAAATAAATCAAATCAAAATCAAAATATTAATTTCATTCGAATGGTTCGTAAATAGCCTTTGTTGACAACGAAAATTAACGTAAACCAGAATGAGTTAATCAGCGTTAAGCTATGCATATGGCCGATTGGTCAGTTTAGCAACAACATTTGCGTTAATAGACCTAGGAATTAATATCATTGATGCCAAAATTGGCTGCCTATTCTGAGCAGATATCATTTTAATTGGAGACAGTGAGCAAGACTTAAACTTACTTTTAAATGCAGCAAATGAATTTGCAAAACAATGGAAAATGTTATTCAATTTTCATAAATCAAATGTTATTATAACGGGACAACGCTACAATGTACATAGGATGACCAATTGGTAACAACTTTATTAATGAAACTAACACACATAAATACCTTAGAATGTTCATATCAAGTAAAATTAAAGATACCTCTCAGATTGGCGAAAAAGGATAGAGTCATGGCATATATAAATCAATCATTAACGAACATGATGACTTTACTATGGCGATATTCTCTGGAAGTCAATTGGCATACCAATATAACTTACGCAAGTAATGCTTCTGTGACAATAAGACTTCCATTCAAAAAATTGAAAATATTCAATACCCGATACCAAATGGCTAGATTCTTATTAAAGGCACCCAGATATGTTGCAAAGGAAGCTCTCTATGGTGAACTAGGGTGGCAAACAATAGAATCCATACAGACAGAAAGAATATATTTTCAGAGACTTCAAAATATGGAAGAGCATCGTTGGCCACGTTTATTTTTAGAGCTCTCTTTGCACTAAAAAATAATATACTGTTTAAAATGGCTGCAAAATATTGAAATCCTCTTGAATAAGTTTGAGTTAGAAAGGCATTTTAATATTGATTGTAACACAAAATGGCTCAAATATATATAAGAGAAAATTATAATACAAGATAATATAAAATGGTTTAATAATGCTCAATTGAATTTGATATTACAAGAATATATATATATATATATATATATATATATATATATGTAGTGAGACTGATCACAAGTAACAGAAAACAAGGGTTGACGTATTTCAGGAACATAATATATTTACTTGAACACAAATATTTCGGTCGTCCCTGCAACCTTCTTCAGTGTGAACTGAACATACAACAAACTTTGCATAGTTTGTACACCAGTTGGCTGGTGGGGAGGGGGTTCGCCAGGCCTCC